GTGATAAAAATTTGTTAAAATCATATAGTAGCCATCCGGACAAAATTTGAGTACAAATTTCGAAAAAGTCTGTGAATAAATGTTTGAATGCGTGGGTGGATGCATGGGTGGGATAAAACTTAAAAGAACCACACAGCAGCTTTCTCAGAAAAATTTGCAACATTTTGTACCAATTTCGTGAAAATTGGTCCATAAATGCGCATGCGTGTGGGTGAATGCGTGGGTGGAGGTGTAACACTTGAAAAAACCACATCGTCGCCATCTCCAAAAAATTTGCAACATTTTGGTACCAATTTTTACAAAAATCCGTTCATAAATATGCGATTGCGTGGGTGGATGCGTGGGTGGGGGCGTAAACTTAAAAAACCCACACAGCAGCTTTCTCAGAAAAATTTGCAACATTTTTGTACCAATTTCGTGAAAATTGGTCCATAAATGCGCATGCGCGTGGGTGGGTGCGTGGGTGGAGGTGTAACACTTGAAAAAACCGCATCGTCTACATCTCCAAAAAATTTGCAACAATTTGGTACCGATTTAAAAAAAATCGGTTCATAAGTATGCGATTGCGCAGGTGGGTGCGTGGGTGGAGGCGTAAACTTAAAAAACCCACAGAGCAGTTTCCTCAGAAAAATTTACAACATTTTGGTACTAATTTCGTGAAAATTGGTCCATAAATGCGCATGCATGTGGGTAAATGCGTGGGTGGGTGAGTGGGTGGAAGTGTAACACTTAAAAAAACCGCATCGTCGCTATCTCCAAAAATTTTGCAACATTTTGATACCATGTGTTCAGAAATATTGCAAAAAAAAATTTTTTTGCAAAAACATACCCTCCTCTTAGGAAAAAAAATAAAAATAAAAAAATTAAAAAAAAAACCCACAGCAGCCACCCCCGAAAAATTTGCAACATTTTGGTACCAATTTCGAGACAATCGGTCCACAAATGCGAAAGTAGTTCGGGTACAGACAAACAGACAGACAGACGGACGGTGCTTATATATATAGATATATATAAATATATTTGTGTGTGTGTGTCTGTCGATAATTTTATGTACTAATTTTATCTTAATAATATTTTTAATTTAATAATTTTAGTAATTATTTCAATAATTCTTAATAATTTTATTTATCTTATTCATATTAATTATTTTTAATGAAAATTAATATTCGCGATACCTTCTTTTGTTCAGCATTTTATTTAGTGTCAGAATTACTCAATTAAAATCAGTCACGGATTCCTTTCTAATAAAAGCTCAACTTTTGTTTTTAGATCTTTCGAAGAACAAATTGAGTTTTCTATCGAAAAGATGGAGCGAGTTTTTGATGTCTTTATAATATTTGAATTTAAACGATAATCAATTTACTATTAGAGCCTTTATCTCTGGCAAGTGTGTCTTTGTTATCTCTGGTTATTGCCAATTGATTGAGGTAAACCTGGCGATAAATCCTCTAGAATATTTAAATGTTAGCTATTTCAAGAACTTGTCGCAGAATCTTCCTATGAATTTAGTGCAGGGATCAAGTTTGCATACTCGAGTTTCAATAAATGCAAAACGAATTAACAATATTAAAAATACTGTTAGATCACATAAAATTATGCTGTAGATGTTTTCTTATAAAGTCAATGTTTAATTTTAAAAGTTCTAGATTTTTTATATTATTTATTTCAGTATAACGAATTACTATTTTTATTCGAATTTTTTGGTCATGTTGTAACACTGTTGTAGAAATTGTATTTTGCTAAAATAGATTAGACATTTTTTATTAAAAAATAGTAAGAAACGATAAATAATAGGGAGACAAATAAAATAATAAGATAATGTTTTAATATTAAAATTTATCGCGTTGATTGGAAGAAGCACATGTTAGACGCGAACTTATTGAAAACATCAATTTGATAATAAAAGTTTTTTATACTTTTTATCTTCTATCTATGCTTACATCTCTTTTAAATGTAAGTGTTGAAATTAATGAAATATAATTAAGTTAAAATTCCGATTAACACATTTTGCAGTATATCTTTGTCTATTAAAAATATTAGTAATAAGCGGCGAATTATGTTGCACAATTTGAAAGTTATGTAATATAATTTAATAAATATTAATATTAAAACTAATATTTTATTTAAATAATTTTACTGAAATTAAAGAATTTTTAAAAAGTGCGAGGGAAACCTCAGCGACTCACAATTTGGGTTCAGACAGGGGTTAGGCACGAGGGAATCAATAGTAGCAACACACGCCCTGGTGCAAAATTGTTATGACCAGAGGAAGGATGTATGCCTGTGCTTTATAGATTATGAGAAAGCGTTCGACAGAGTTCAACATCATAGGCTTATGGAGGTTCTCAGAAAAACAGATATAGATACAAAGGACATTCAATGTATTGAAAGCTTATATTGGAATCAAAAGGCACGAATCAGGATTGACGGGGAAGAAACCAACGCGGTTGAAATCTGCAGAGAGGTCCGACAAGGATGTGTTCTCTCACCCCTTCTGTTTAACCTATACTCTGAGGTTATTTTCCGAGAGGCACTCGAGGATATTGAGAAGGGCATAAAAGTGAATGGAGAATGGCTAAACAATATTCGATACGCAGACGACACAATGGTAATTATAGACAACATGGACGATCTAGAACAACTTCTTGACATAGTAGGACAGCACAGTAAAGACATGGGATTGAACATCAACATTAAGAAAACAAAATTCATGGTTATCACCAGAGAACCGGACAAGTTCAGAAACGCTAGCTTAAAACTAGAAGGCAGACCGATAGAACGAGTAAATAGATTTAAGTACCTGGGAACGTGGATGTGCGAGGATTGGACGTCGGAGATGGAAGTAAAATGCCGAATAGAAATGGCTCGCAAGGCATTCATGAAATTTAAAAAAGTCCTCACCAATACGGACTTCGATCAAAATCTGAGAATGAGATTCATTAGGTGCTACATATGGTCGGTGCTTCTATATGGAATGAAGGGATGGACACTGAAAGTTTCTGAAATGAATAGACTAGAGGCCTTCGAAATGTGGGTCTACCGCAGAGTCCTAAAGATACCGTGGACGGCGAGAACCACCAATGGAGATGTCTTGAAACGATTGGGCAAGGATCGGGAAATATTGACTACAATAAAAAGGAGGAAAACGGCATACTTGGGCCACATCATGCGTAATACAAAGTATGAGCTGCTACAAAGAATTATACAGGGAAAGATCGAAGGGAAAAGAGGATTAGGACGCAAAAAACTGTCTTGGCTTCGAAATATTAGACAGGACTGCGCACGGTGGAGGAGTTGATCCATGTGGCGAGAGACGAAGAGAGGATGCAGGAAGTGATCGCAAACATCCATTAGTGGACAGGCATACGAAGAAGAAGAAGATTGAAATTAAAATGTTGATTTACAGAGAGAGAGAGAGAGAGAGAGAGAGAGAGAGAGAGAGAGAGAGAGAGAGAGAGAGAGAGAAATTGTGTTGTGATTTAATGTGAACTAAAAAATATTAATCAATCACAAATTTTATATAATAACATATTTAATGTAAAAGATATTTAAATATTGAACATATAAGCACATAATTATAATTAGTTGACATATAACTTTAACATATTACTAATTCTTATAGTTATACAAACATGTTTTATATATACATGTATTCATTTATTAATATATTATATTGTAGTGTAATTATTAGTATGTGTAATTATATAATTAATATATAATATGATCTGTATAATATATACATAATATATAATATATAATATTATTATTTTATATGTGCCAACACACACACACATACAACCATATATATATAATGTAGATAATAACGATTTTAATAACACGTATATATATATAAATATGTTGATTGTAAATTTTTATAATATTTAATACATGTGTATGTGTGTGTGCGTATATAAACATATATTTTTATTAATTCACCTAAAAATTAAAAACAAGTCAATTTGTAATTCAAAATTAATAGATAGTGCATTTAACAATTAAATTTATATGTATATATATTTACACATTTTTATTTTTATTTGATATTTAACAATAAAATTTATAGTAATATTATACTTTCTTGTGAACACAGGCAATAATATATAGTTCAATTACATTAAGCAAATTCGCAAAAAAATGAAAAGCTTGATGCATGTAGTCATAAAGATTTGTAAATACAGAGGCATCGAATAGTAATACATCTAAATAAATAATAATTTACGCAATAAAATTAATAATACATACAATATATAAAAATGGTTAATATGAAGTATATCCACGCGCACAATGCAAAGCTACAATTTTTTTACTTTCATCAATAAAACATCCTATCAAAATACTTATTCATTTGTCTTTCGAGTTGATTTTTGCGAATTGACATTTTGCTTCCAATTTTATCAGAATTCTCCATTATGAAAGCCTAATATATATAAACAAAGATTTGCACAATGAAATTAATATATACTTTTTATATAATAAACAAAACTAATATAAAATTAATATTCAGTAATTAATAAGATAATTAAAGCAATAAAATAAATAATACATATAATATATAAAAATTATTAATATGAAGTATATCTACACCCACAATGCAAAGCTGCAATTTTTTACATCCACCAATAGAAAATACTATACAAATACTGTCTTTGTTTTTCGAGTTGATTCTTGCGTAATGATATTTTGCTTCCAATTTTATCAGAATTCTGCATTATAAACACCTAATATATATAAACAAATATATAAACAAATATAAATATTTAGAAATTAATAAGACAAAACAAGATTTTTGCTTTTTTCCCTTTCTATAATAATATTTATTAAATTTACCTTTTCTTTTATTTCAGTAATTACGTGTACATTATCCTTCAACCATTCAACGTAATTGTTTATTTTCTAAAATGTATTATTTTTTAACTATATTATTTTTTTATTAATAAACAACGTTATTATGTAACATTATCAAAATTATTTAATATTAAATAATAATTTTTAATGTCGCATTATTCTCACGATTTGTACACATACATATATAAACATGTAAAATTTTACTTGAAATAGATTTACGGCATATATGTTATTAATAATAACAGTAAATGCTACAGTTATATCGACATATCTAAAAACGAAAAAACAAATATATATATAAAGCACAATACATTTTTGTACCAAATATTTATAAAAATATGTCACATTACTTTGGTTTTATGTCCAAAAAAATATCTAATATGTACGGCAGAATAGTTGGATTCGTTGCATGCTTCGTAATAATGGGTAAGAAACTGTTAAGATGATAATAATATTTTCGATGTGTAATATTTTTATATGTTAAATAGTTCCTAATCATAACAGTATCTTCAGTGCAAGCCAAGTATTCTAAAAATTTAGTGTCAAATTTGTTCAATCCTATATTGTACACAAATTGCCAAGTCTCGTTCGTGGCTATCATCAAACCTTTATATGTCCATTCCTTCCACCATGGCAAAAGTCTAAAACATAGTAAAAAATTACATTTTTTAATTGAAGATTAGCATACGGATCTTTTGATCAAATCATTTGAACATTATAGGCGATACAAGAGAATTTGATTAAGAAAGGCTAAAAAAATATATACATATCGAAATATTTACTTGTGTTTTGTAGGATCTAAGAGATGATGTTCTAATTTTCTGTTGGCTACTTCCTTACAATTGAGGTCATCGAGAAAACATGCCCATCTTGCAGCTTCTTGTCGTAAACATATTCTAAGTTGGTCTGTATCATCAATTTCTTCATATTTGATTCTTTCAAGTAGCGCGCGTAAAATGTATTTTACTCTCGTCTAAAAATTGTTAAATATACATTTATTTGTTCATATTATAAATGTATTTAAAAATTATTATATTTTTTTAATTTTTCCAATAGATTCTTAAAATTTTCTCTTTCTAGGAAACAAACATACATACAAATTCACTTAAGCCATAGACGCTAACGTTATCTATTCACGTACATATACATATACGTGCAAATATATATATGTATTATACATGTACGCAAAAATATGGTTTAATTTGTGCGAAATATTTATAATATTTAATAGATATTAAAGTTTCATAACTATATTAATCATATTTTATTTTTAAATAAGATATAAAATTAATATATCGTTTTAAAAATATATAATTAAATTTTTCCAACTCAATATATATGTTTAATTTTTTTTTAATTACTAACATGTAAAATTGATGTAAAGCCAATATAATTGCATTCATTGACAAAGATTAAGCATCTTACTACATATCGATAACACTGTTATATATAATAATATGTAGAGTAGTGAAAATCATAGACTTTTTGGACAGTTCTTCGAGTGATTATTCAAGTCATTCTTCAAACTAAATTTGTTTGCACATTTGTTTGCGACGTAATAGTATGTAAAATCTTATCGTTGTTGGAAATATGTTTCTAAGTATTTAAATTATTTGTGATCAATGAGTGTATATATGCAAATATTTAAAATGTAATCATTTGAGATCTGAGAGTTGTGACGGTTAAACGTTCTGTTTTGTCTTCAGTAAAAAACTTTGTTAAAAAGACGTCGGATCTGATACTTAAAACTGTTGTAAAATTATCACCAATTTGTTTGAATCTCAATTTAATGTTTAACAACATTTCATCATGAGGATTCAATCAAAATATCTTCCTTGACCAGTAAATCAGGAAGTCTATACTCATAAGTGATTGCATGGTGCGATCGCTCGAACTCAGTATGTATCAGTAATGGTGATTGTCATACACGATGACTTGTTTAGCAACATATGTAACGAGACAAAAACTGACTTTTTATATATTTATTATCTTGACATTGTTAATTACCGTCTATAATGTTTTAATATTACAATTCAATTTATATTAAAATATTTGTATTGCGCTGAGAAGCTTGAAAGGCCGAAACGTTCGCATAAATGTTTATTTCTTAATGTATTACATTTGAGTTTTATAATATTTTATTAATATCATCTGACAATGATTTATAATAGACTTAATCCCTATTGTTTACAATTATTAAATAAAAGAGTCTTTATTTACTATTACGTTTTTAAGCAGAGTATATAAATTCATCGAAATATTAAAATTTATTAATATAAACGATGTTTATCCATCATTATCTCCATATACATATTATATCATACCATAGCATACATAGCTATATCTTCTTCTCGTTTCAGATACAATATGATATCCCAGAATATAGATGTAGAGTTGACATGTTAAGATTAAATGTAATGTAATCATCGATAATCTCGCACGTTTAAGAACGATGAATTTTCGTGTAATTATCAGAGTTTAGATATTTGAAATTCTCTCCAATTCTCTCATCATCTTAACGCGATAATATCCTGTCAAATAGAAAAAAATTTTATCATTTTTATGTTTTGAATAATTTTATCAGAATATTTTCTCTATTTTTGTTTTATAATTTTGTTTATATAAATTATAAATGAAAAACGTACACAAAAATTGAATATAAATAAAATGATAATATATATAGAAAATTAATTATAAAAATGTCATTTTAATACTTGAAATAGTAAAAAATGAAACTGTGCAAGATATTGTTGTATATCATCATAAAATAAATTTTATAAATATAATTATCCTTTTAATAATTTTTGCTATTATTAGAATAAAATATATTTGTAAAAATATAACATTAATATTGAATGATAATATTTATAGAAAACATCTACGTACTTTTTAATATAATATTCATGACATAATATTGCAAATGACATTAATTAAAACTATTATAGTTATTTAATGAATATTTCAGATTTTTATAGGACAATCTAAAATAGATAGAAATATAAAACAAATCTGTGTGAAATGAAATAAGAACGAAAAAAACAAGGATTATTATTGTCATATTTTTATCAATTAAGTATATTCAACTATCCAATAATTAAATAAATACGTATGAAATTTGCGCGCTTGTACACACATATTGATAGTAAAATTGTTAAAATCGGGAGACTTTTGTGTAGTAAAAATTTAAATAGTCACATATTTTTTCAAATTTTATATGAATTTATACGCTACATAGAATCACTATTATTGAATTCTAATTATATTAAACATATCAAAATAAAGACATACATGTATTTATCAAATGAATAAAATTATTGAATACAGACTTAAAAAATTTATTAAACATAGACTTAAAAAATTAATTAATTAAACATATTCCAAATTAGAAAAAATAACTTTATTTATATATGAAACAGCTTTTAAACTAAATTTTTAAATTCTATTTTATATAAGACAATTATCTCAATCAACATCTACGTTCACATTAGCTGCACTGCAGACTACCTCTACAGCCACATTATCTGCTCCGCGGATATAGCGTTATGCCAATACGATACATTACATGTACTTACTTACTTGCCTTTACTGTACCAACTCTTGTTCTTTCCACGTAATCATGTTTTTACAGTTATCGTTTGCTGTATATCTTCCAGCAAACTTTATTTCGTGTGAAGTGTATTTAATAATCTCTAAAAACTCACCTTTAAAAAAAGGTAAAAAAAGGCGACCAGTTAAGGGCACGCCATTAACAAAAATTATCCATTGCAAACCCATGTAGAATCCTATCCTATTGCAAACCCATGTAGAATCCTATGAAAAATTAATCATTGCAAACCCATGTAGAATCCTAGGCAAAATTAACCATTGCAAACCCATGTAGAATCGTACCCATTGCAAACCTATGTAGAATCCTATGAAAAATTAACCATTGCAAACTCATGTAGAATCCTATGAAAAATTAACCATTGCAAACCCATGTAGAATTGTATTAAAATTATCCATTGCAAACTTATGTAGAATCCTACATTGCAAACCCATGTACAATAGAATTGTATGAAAAATTATCGATTATAAACCCATGTACAATCGTAACAAAAGTAATGAAATAAAAAAAAAATTGCGCCAAGTGAAAGTAGAAACTTGTACCAGTGGAAAATTAAAGTTGCAGACATATATAGAGTCGTATAATGAATCAGTAAAAATTTAAATTTGCAAATGTAGAATCGTACCATAAAAAAACTTATCTTTTAAAAAAAAAGATAAACAAGATGCCAAGTCCATGCGCCATGTGAAAAAGAAATAAAAAAATTTTAGTTAAAAAAACTGGGCGCGCTGCTAAGTTTCAAAATTACAATGCACCTTAAAGTAACATTAATTAATTTAAACACAAAACATATTTTAACTGTAATGAGTTTAAAAGTAACAATTTAATTTTAATATTGTTAGAATATTATTTAGCAGCGCTCCCAGTTTTTTTAACTAAAATTTTTTTATTTCTTTTTCACATGGCGCATGGACTTGGCATCTTTTTATCTTTTTTTTTAAAAGATAAGTTTTTTTATGGTACGATTCTACATTTGCAAATTTAAATTTTTACTGATTCATTATACGACTCTATATATGTCTGCAACTTTAATTTTCCACTGGTACAAGTTTCTACTTTCACTTGGCGCAATTTTTTTTTTATTTCATTACTTTTGTTACGATTGTACATGGGTTTATAATCGATAATTTTTCATACAATTCTATTGTACATGGGTTTGCAATGTAGGATTCTACATAAGTTTGCAATGGATAATTTTTAATACAATTCTACATGGGTTTGCAATGGTTAATTTTTCATAGGATTCTACATGAGTTTGCAATGGTTAATTTTTCATAGGATTCTACATAGGTTTGCAATGGGTACGATTCTACATGGGTTTGCAATGGTTAATTTTGCCTAGGATTCTACATGGGTTTGCAATGATTAATTTTTCATAGGATTCTACATGGGTTTGCAATAGGATAGGATTCTACATGGGTTTGCAATGGATAATTTTTGTTAATGGCGTGCCCTTAACTGGTCGCCTTTTTTTACCTTTTTTTAAAGGTGAGTTTTTAGAGATTATATCATTCATTTTTGTATATTTTTATGACCGGAATAGAACAATTATTAAACATGTTTATCTAAACTTCTTTGCTTAAAATGATGTGTACAATCATATCCTAGAATCCTGATCATTCCTCCTAAAGCACCCTATTTATATAAATTTACCCATATGTGTGTGTGTGTGTGTGTGTGTACTAATGTCGAGCATTTTTTATACATTTTCTATTAAATTTAGATAAAAGTTGCAGGATTTCGAAAAAGAAAAAGTTGACACAGACTTTTTCCTAAACGGCGATTTTCAAGGTTATTTAAAGGTCACTTATATTTTCAAAATAGAATTACCTTAATTTTTCTCATATAAATCGATTCCTCGCAATATTTACTATAAAAAGTTGTAAAGGTATAATTTTTACATAATCTTACATAAACTTCGAAATATTACAAATATTTTATTTTATGAAATATTTCAGTTTATGTAAAATTATGTTAACTATCTTTTAAATTATTCACTTTTAGCCATCTTACCCTTACAACCTTTTATAGTGAATATTGCAACAAATTGGTTTATATATATAATATATATATAACATCAGTTATTATTAATTGATGTTTACATTTATTTTTAGACTTACTAGAGCTCAAATGCTCCACATTTTTTGCAAAAACTGTTTATTCTACAGATTTCAAATATGCTTTTAAATGATGATTGAATATTTCCTTTTTTTAATTATTTTTATTATTATTTTTCAATCTCAATCAACTTTTATAACTTTATGCCAGCACGATACAAATACATGTGTCTTTATTTTTTTTATTATTTTCATTATTATTTTTCAATCTCAATCAACTTCTATAACCTTATGCCAGCAGGATACAAATACAT